AGAGAGAGAGAGAGAGAGAGAGAGAGAGAGAGAGAGAGAGAGAGAGAGAGAGAGACGATGAGACAGCAGAATAGAGTTATAATTCATGAGCGGATGACGCAGAGCGAAAGAGTTAAAGAGAAAACGATAAAGAAAATATCCTCCGTCAGCAGCCGACGTTATGCGCGCCTGTCGACGTGAAATCATATCGGTAATAATTCATCCAGCGCCTCTCTCTCTCTCTCTCTCTCTCTCTCTCTCTCTCTCTCTCTCTCTCTCTCGGTCGCTCTCTCTCTCGGTCGCTCTCTCTCTCGGTCGCTCTCTCTCTCGGTCACTCTCTCTCTCGGTCGCTCTCTCTCTCCCTCTCTCTCTCTCTCTCTCCCTCTTTGTCTTTCTTATTGCACAATAGTTCATCAAGAATAAGGTGAATAAATGACATAATATGGTATACGTAAATATTGGCATGAACACATGTACACTATATACATATACTTCAGGAGTTAATAATGACAAATGTCGTTGTCATTTTCATGACAGTGACATTTGTCATTATTAACTCCTGATATACTTATATACGTAAGAGAGTATCACTCATATGCTCATGATATCGGCAATAGGAAAGTATTGCTCGGCCAATGGCAAGATCACTGTTGTTTATTTGTCATAATTGAGAATCCCTACTAAAAAGAACATTTGCGATAATTATGACATGTTGGAATAAAGATGGATATAGGTTGCGCCCCAGTCACAACTCGCACAAAATTCCATTATGGTCAGGTAGCTATAGAGGTAGTTTCTCTGTTTAACTGCGATTCAAGGGAAACGCCTTCGTGGCCTTCGTGGACAGGTGGCCCCTGTTCGACGAAGGCAGGCACCAGCGACGTTTCGAGGGAGCGCACCTCCATTGGACCATAATAAAAATATTGTTTGTTTGCCCTCACCCGACCGACCCGCCAAAAAGAGGCTGAGTAAAAACATGTTTATTGATCTTTACCATTCTTTTTTTTTACAAATTGAATCACTGTACATTATATAAATCTGTAGGCAATACATTATATGCAGGGCCGGACTAAGCATGTGGGGGGCCCGGGGCACGCATAAGCATCGCGCGCTCATCACCCATCATAACCACGTAAGCATCGCGCGCTCATCACCCATCACAACCACGTAAGCATCGCGCGCTCATCACCCATCACAACCACGTAAGCATCGCGCGCTCATACCCATCACAACCACGTAAGCATCGCGCGCTCATCACCCATCACAACCACGTAAGCATCGCGCGCTCATCGCGTTTGGTTTGCGTTCCGATTAAAAGGCGATATAGGACATCGATTGTTGTGCACGTGACATCGGCACGCAAACACAGCACAACCGTTAGATTTTTGTATGATTTACATCCATGCCATGATGGCAACACAATTTGCGCGCACTACCCCACAGGTTCCGCCTCGAAGACCTATTAGATTGTAATAAAACCGATGATGTTGCGTAGGGAATGTTTATTTAATTGTTATTTCTGCTGATAAATGTAAAACTTGTCTCAGGAGTTATAACGAAGAATAAAATGGTCAAATAAATGCACTAAAAAACTACTGTAATAAAATTCTCATTGATATAGTACCAGTATTCCTACGTTACAGTGGCAACAACTACAATAACGACAAGAAGATGAACAATAACGACAAAATTATCTCTTTCGCCTTAGTGCGTACGGTAACGTTTTCCCATGTAATTTTGCATAATTTTATTAACATGAAACGATTGCATAATTATTGATATAGCATAGCCTGCAACCTTTCAATTCCGTATGGCACTTCTAGCAGCGCCTTTCCCGGGGTCAATCGTTTCAGCAGATGGTGAAATTCTGGCCAACCGTACGTACGTATATAGGCTTTCAAAATACACTGGAACCCCGCAAGAACGCCATAATCGGGGATCTAAAACATTCGATCGCGTAAAATGCGGGGTCACGTTATAGCGGGGTGAGTTTAATTATCGAGAAAATGTGGAGTAATTAGGAGCCAAGTGGCAATCGCGATTTGTCCGAATTTGTCTTTTTGTGGGCCGCATTATATATATATATATATATTATAATAGCACGGGGGTTAAAAGGTTAAATTCTCGTTAAGTCTGGAGTTCCTCTCTTAGTAGTCTGTTTGCGAGTTTTATATTGTTATCGCCCTATTACGACCAAAATACACCTTAAAATACAATATACGCGTGAAATGAAGTAAAATCAAAAGAGAAATGTCAAGAAAAATGAGTTATGGCATGATCGCTTTATACATCCGATTTTATAATCTCGTTATTGTTTGGAGCTTTATAGTCGGGCTCTACTGTACATAACATCAGAATTTTTAGCTCTTAATAACATCTTTCTTGTCAGACGTCGTGGTTTATGTAATAAAAGCCCCCCCAAGGCTTGTATATTTAATATCTCAAAGCTAGCTAGCTCACTTTGTCTGTAATAATGAGCCGGAGCGTTCTATAGTCATTTGAGTATATAGCTATGCTAACAGGAATGATCTCGGTTAGCCGCAGACAAAGATAAATAAAATGAAAACAATAAATAAATAGGTAGGCCTAAATAAAATTATATATAATTATATATACATTTATATTATGTATATATACATATATATATAGAAAGAGAGAGAGAGAGAGAAAGAGAGAAAAGAGAGAGAGAGAGAGAGAGAGAGAGAGAGAGAGAGAGAGAGAGAGAGAGAGAGAGAGAGAAAGAGAGAGAGAGATAGATAGATAGATACAATCATTATTTTCTAGCAGTGTTTTCAGACTGCTAAACCGTTAACATAATAAGAACGATACAACCGCACATTTCATGTAGTACTAACGTTTTAAAATACACTGTAAAGTATTATAATATACAATAACAACTAATTTACAAGAAAAAAAAACGTTTTATTTTATTGTTCATAGGCAACATGGTACAAAACTTACTCTAGAACTACTCTGGTATTTACACAGATTTAGCAGCATAATTCCATTACATACTAGATACTGACACAGTACACACTGTTCAAGTTACACACTTATGTACTTAATTACATCCTAAAGCCGAAAGGTGACCTATAAATGTATGAATTCGACTACACGACTATTTTCATGCAAATAATTATAATGAAAAAAAAACTGGACTTATTTTATACTTTTCTTTTGCAATACAATGAAATGACCATCATATTTACACCGTGACTTCGATCCTGCCACTGTCGAAACTGTTAAATCTCTTTTAAAAATATGTGTTCGAAAATCGAGTGAGTAAGTTTAATTTCTCATTTATATGCCAGTTTGATGTGTATAAATAATAATGGCGAAATTGAATGAACATAGTAGATACACCATAACTGCTAACGCCTTCAATATCATACGTACTGTTTTCATATTGAATGGTGCTACGATACGATTACATATAGGTTGTTTATACAACCAACATAAATTATGTACACTCTAGTTGAAAAAAAACAACATGTTACTCTATTTGACATCACATTTCGTATAACACATACAAAACGCGCTGCATGTACAAGTAGCGGGTTGGAAGCGTTGAAATAAATATACATTCACAGTTAGCCACAACTTATGCAGAGGTGAGAGCGTGGTTTGCGAAACACCAGGGAGCACATCTGTAGCATTGTTTCTGAACATTTATCACTGTAGAATCTTCCTAGAGATGCCTTCCGTGCGTGCGTGCATATGCGAGTGTGAATGTTTTACGGAATTAGTGGTAGTAAGCACAAATGCTGTCTCTTTCTATTACCCGCCTCTTGAAAAAAAACAACTTAATAACTAGTCAGTGGACAGGGATAGATTTAAATGCAGGCAAGCTCTATTTAGTATCAACGGCATGTCTGCATTTGTTCTCAGTGGCAGCCATGAATTAATTTAAGAAACTAAATGAATTACAAACTGCACCCACTGTCAGTTTACCTGAAACTAGTTAGTGTCCCGTCCTTGCAGCTAACTGCAAAGACAACTGCTGCACCAGAGATCTAGGCAATCTCCACCCCTCCACCTAGCTGAATTGAAACAAGCCTCATCTCATTGTCGTCTCATTGTCGCGCGTGCCTCAGTGAGGCTTGGAAGGTGGCGATGCCGTGTCCAATTGTCGCTGATACTCCATGTAGAGTCGCTGTAGCTGCAGATTGCCTCCAACTAGTGGCAGTACTTCCCTGAGCAGCTGCCTCTTGCTGAAGCCCTACAAGAATGTCGTAACAACACTTACTAGCACATAATCACAACCACATTGCTTAACGATCGAATCTGTCCAGCAACGATGGTACGCATCACTAAAGTCTGATGCTAATTTTGTAGCTGAATGGCATCGAGTGATAAGTTCGTCAAATCCACACCGGATAGTGGCAGTGGACCTGTACCCTGTGTAGACAGTCCAGACCTCCGCTACACACTTTTCAGTTATGATTCATCCATACTTCGTCCCTCGGATATAACTCGACAAAAACCCGCGATGGTGCAGCAATGGCCTGGGGCCCGTTGTCAGAAACAAAATTAGTCTTAACATTAGCATTAACTTTACGATGTTTCTGACAACGGCCCCCTGATTTTGAAAGAGTTGCTTTTAGAGCTGATATCTACTTTCAATATTAAAGAAATAGGACGGCGTCACAAACCAGCATTGGCACTATAATAACGACAATAAAAACATGATAAGAATTGTATACAGACTTACAAGAATGTAGGGATTCCATGCTATTGTAGTTTTATACGTGGGACCAAGCAATGTATCACAGACTTCACGTAAGCGAGACTCCAATCCTGCAATGACAGAACGTTAACCTCACAGGTGATCTTTGATTTTAAAACATTTTAAACTACGTAGACAAGTGCTATCTCTCTCTCTCTCTCTCTCTCTCTCTCTCTCTCTCTCTCTCTCTCTCTCTCTCTCTCTCTC